CAACTTCATATTTCATATATTTCTTCCCACTTTTCCGGACATCTAATAATTAGATGTCCGGAAAAGTGGGAAAAAAATAGCTCCCAGTATTAATCCTCAAATTTGAAATTTTCAGATTTTAAAAGTTGAATGATTGAATTTTCTTAGTTGCAAGGAAATTTTCCGTAATTTTAAAATTCTATTATCATTTTAGGCATTGCATTGGGGAAGAAAACTGCACATGCAGTGGTAGTGCACGGGAAGAGATGAATTGTTTACTGCCAGCGGAATGTAAAAATTAAAAGTGTAAAATTTTGTCTTAAATATTGTAATAAACAATTTCTCTGTGTTTTTATTCTAATTATTTTGTTTTCAAGAAATTACAAATTTGTAATAATCATTGTCACAATTTAATTTGCTGGTCCAATAAGCCAAGCATCCTTCACTTTTCCAATGATTCTTTCACATTCTTGTATTTTATATAGGTGTTACTTATGGATAAATTTCGCAAATGACCTGAAATTGATGATAATTTTAGCAAAATTTTCATCTTTAATAAGCTATTTTATGCATTAAATTATTCATAACTTTCCATCATTGCGATAAATTTTCCAAAAAAAAACGAAAATGTCTTCAAAAAACTATGATTTGTTTTAATTTTAAACTGCCAATTAAGTTTTTCTTTTTAACTGCCATATCTTTTGATTTCATTGCAATTTGCTAAAAGTTTGTAAAAAAAAAATTGAAACCTTTACTTTGTTCTTTGCTTCTTTCCTTTATGTATTTACTATCACTTTGTATATATTCAATAATAAAATCTTCTAATGATAAAAAACTCGCTGAATCACAATATGATTGATGTAAAAATGATTCAAATTATCAAGTTACATTTTGAGTAAAATTTTAATTATTTACTTATACATACAGTACCATTTAATCGTTATAATAAAAATCTGTACTTCAGCCCTTTATGACTTCATTTGTTGTACTTAACACTATTTTTATGCTAACAATTTCAAAACAAATACAAATTAATATCTGAAATTATTAAAGGAAAAGGATGGGATGTTTTTGAAAACCACTTCAAGCAAATTAGCATGCTAATGATTAATTTAAAGTAATTACAACATAAAAATTAATTACACTACGGATTAATTATATCATAGAAATTACATTATAGATATTACATTACAGAAATTAATTAATTAGATTGTGGCTAATTACATTATAGTTACATTTTAATTACATTTTAGAAATAAAAGTTGAAAAATGTATTATTCTATGAAAGAATGCATGAATTAAATGCGAAACTTAACTTATTTTGACCAATAAGAAATAAGTTTTTTTTTTTTTTTTACAATATTTAATGTAGACGAGTTTTAAAATAATATAGGCTTGTCGTTGAAATCGTGAGAAGAAGCAATGAATCAATAATTGCTTTGATATTATTGCTATAATGTATGACATGTGTGGACAATGTAAGCTAATATTGTTCGCCAATTGCGCCTATGTGCTTCTATTAAAGCCGCTAATTGTGATCATAGATCTGACCTCAGAGTTTTGCCGGGATCTCTCTATTCTGAGAAGAAGAAGGTCCTAAGCGCCAAATCATTTCGAAAAGACGCGTTTCAACAGATTGGTTGGTTAGAGGATATCGGGGCATCATTTGGTCTATGGTTTCTCCTCTTTTGTTCTTATTGATATTATCATTGATTAACCAACACATAGAAAACAAAGATTTAATTACCAAGTTTGAGATACTACTACTCAAAGAAGCAGAAAGAATCTTTAGTTTTTGTCACGGGTGAAGAAAAATCGGCGACAGATTTAAATAGCCGTTATCTCTCAATAAGATATTTTATGTCATGAAATGTCACAAAATACTTTTTGTTTTATGATATCCATTAATAGATGAATTCCTCACTTATTTTTCTAAATTTAATTTGATAAATGAGAAATGTAATTTAATGATTAGAATAAGATTAATAGAAATTAAACAATTTTTAGCGCGTATTTTCCTGAACTTTTTGTTGTACGATTTTATGATTTTAATTAATCATTTGTTAATGTTATAATATTTTGATACATATAAAATCACTTCTTCTTTCAATAATATCCTTTTATTTCATATATTTTTCAACATCATACAATAGTAAGTATTTCAGTTAATAAGTAAGCACTCGAATTGGTTTTATTCCTTAGAAGATTGTTATCATAATTTGCATTGATAAATGTTACACTTTCTAGTTCCAATCTTATGCTTTTTTTTTATGGTTTACAAAATATTTTGTTCCTTAAAATCACATCGCTCAGTGTCTTAAATTCTGATTTAAAAAAAAAAAAGAAATTCAATTAAGATAATCAAAAGAATTATCCTTACGATACACTTTATTATAACTATCATTTATCATTATCATTGTTAAGATAAGTACCTACAAAATATTTATCATCATGTATGCAAAAGCATCTGTCTATCACAACTATTGTCTCAATTATTACATTGTTAGGCAAATTTCAGTCATCGGTACGGTAAAAAGAGTTTTCAAATGTATATGAATTAAACACTTATCAAACATTAATCTGATAGTCGTGATTAGGCTTCGCAAACGAAGATATATGAAGGGATGGCTAAAAAAGTCAATGTTGAATAAACAAGCTTTGAATGCAAAAAAAATGCAATAGAAGGTCATCTTAGACGGTATTGATGAGGTACGATTTTTTTTTTCCATTGTCATCTGTCCTCGAGGCTTCTTCTGCGTATGTGCTCGAACAAAGCAACAACGTCATGGATGATGTATTTCCATGTCGCCGAATTCGAAGCCAGACTGGATCATTGATGGTAGCCTATATGACCAAGGCTGAGGTATTTTTCAAGGACATCCTTGTAGCGCCTCTTTGGGACTCTTCTTTTGAGGAATCCGATGGCCAATTAGCTATAGGGCACAATCTTAAGAAGGAAGTGATCTTCCATCTTGGCGACGTGTCCATTGCGCAGGCTCGAAAGAGGCAACCACTTTTTGACGTAGCAACAGGTAAGGGACAAAACAGTAGGCGATAAGTACTAATTTGATAATATCACAAAAGAATGTTGCATGGATACGGTAGCAAACTGAAATTACAGCTTCTTTTTTTTTTTTAAATTCAAATAATTGATATGCAGACAAAATTGAATAATATAACAATGTGTTTATCAATCAGCAAACATTTTAACAACACTTTTTGCACAAGGCAACATATATTGCGTTATCACTTATCAGATAACGTTATAGGAAAACTAAAAATAACGTTTGCAACAAAAAAATTGAACAAAAAAAGAAAAAGAATAAAAATAAAAAGAATCAAAGAGGGAAGAAATGATAAGTTATTGAGAAAAATACAAAACTCTTTTACTTTATTTCTTATCATTCATTTTTCTCCAATTCGATTACTCTAAATGTATACTGTATATTTGTAGGATAATACTATCTAATCAATTTTTTTTAAAAACGAAAAAATTTTTCCTTCTTCAAAATAAGGAATAATTGGAATACTGTAGGACTCGAATAGAAACAAGTCATATTTATTAGTTATGATAATTTTTATTTATAAATAAATGATGTTATTATTTGTTCGAGTGATTGTAAATCAGAAAATCTAGTAAAATTAATTAGCATTATAGAGGATATTTTAATTTATTTTATTTAATTTTAAACTTATTCGATTGATCACTTTCAGAATAATGGATTTATTTTATCAATTACTCTATGTATTATTATGATTATCGAGAAAACAGAAAGGAAAATTAGTTCTTTTACTGATACCAATGATAATGAATAGGACATTTAATTAAATGAACCAAATTTTTTCTCACCTCTCCCGGAATATGCAAGGCAGAATATAACAATAAAAAAATTGATTGAGGTCTGATAAGTTCATCATCAAACATTGAACAATGAAAGATCATCAAAGTAACACAATTAGCTTAGTGATAAGTTACAATAAAATTTGCAATCAATGCGGAAAAGATCGAAAAGCTTCATTAAATTTATGCAAAAAATCGCTACTCATCGCCATATAACGCAAATGACTCTTTGAATCAGGCCTAAAAAATATGGAAATTATTCAAATGAAAAAGTACAGTATTTTATGTAGAGTACTGTATGATTTGATGAATCATTCCATATTCCTTCCAAATATCGGAGTAATCAATAAGCTCACAGTATTCCAAATATTTTTTGATTTCATCAACCAAATGATTTAAGGAATTGATTTCCTTAATTTTGATCCAATCACAAAGATAGTACATAACTCATGAGTAATTGAGTATTTTGAGTATTGAGTATTGAGTATTGAATTTTTTAACTCATCGTATTTTCATTTTTCTTTTTCGTATTGATTTTTACCAAATAAAAAAAAAAAGAAAAAGGAAGGAATAAAAATTTTTAATTCCTTTTTGTATGAAAAATTTAGGAAATATAAAATGTAACCTTAATAATAAGTATATTTTTATATTTAAAATTAAAAATTTCTCTCCAATGATTTACTTAATTATTTCCCTTTATTTTACTCTTCAAACATTTAATATTGCACTTCAATATTTTAATTTCACCAATAAAAATGATGGTTTACGGTAAACGGAAAGAAAGAAAATGTTTCGTAAATTGAAAATAATCGTTATGAGGTGGTAATTTAGTTATCAGGTGGTAATTTAGTTATCAGGTGGTAATGAGTTATGAGGTGGTGATAATAGTAATGCTATTTGTTTTCCATTCAAGAATTTTTATGCTAACCTTTTTAGGAAATTTGTTTTTTCCTCAGTTTCTGGTGTAATTTCTCCTGATGTTTCAGTCAATTCTAAAATTGTATCAGCATTTGGCCGTGGCATTATTTCAGTATATGGGAATACCTAAAATGAATCAGCAAAAATTTCGCCAAATATTTTATGACCATAGTTCCGAGAAATCTCAGAGAAACTTATTCAAAACTTGAAAATACTTCATATCTTATGGAATATTAATAAATCAATATTAATACATCGAATTTTATATGCTATATGATGCGATGATAATATGCTATTACAATCAAAACTTGGATAAAACAAAATTGAAACACTGACATTGATTCTACTATCAGGATTATTTTTTATCGAAAGCCTTAGCTGAGTATTATTCCAGGATGATGATCCTATTGGGATCCATTCTTCGATTGTTTCAACTACACGAACTTGCTCTTTTGATATCATCGTTTCCGGACCTTCAAATTATATTTTAAAATTTGATTCGATCATTTTATATAAATTTTTTGAAAATAAATTCAACAGGAACTCAAATAATTCATCATTTATTATTTATTGAATGGAATCGATGTAATAGAAAATATTTGCACGGATATATCGAAGTGTTTGAATACTTCATTTGTGTGTGAAAAATTGAATTGAATTGAATTGAATTGAAATAATCAATCATTTAATAAATTATTCATCGCATCATATCGCGTGAAAAAAAAATTTTTAAATGCTTTGAGGAGAATTTTTTTTAAAAAAAAAGAACACAAACAACTTTTTGTGCCTTAAAAACAATAAAATATATAAAAAGAAAATAGAAAATAATTTTTGACCTAATTTTTTGAATTTATTCTATTTTAATTCATTGATAAAAATGAATAAATAAAAAAAGTAGAAAAACGATGAATGAAGAAGAATAAGGGAAATTATAGTTACATTTTTACCTGACAGAAATTAAAACAGGTATGATATTAAGCAAATAATTAAATATATGTATATCCTTTTGTCCTTCCCAACTATTTAACTGTTACTGGAAATGATTTATATGAAATTATCGGAATAGCACTCATAATTAGGATTAATTAATTTAGCAAAAAGATATA